AAACTGCATGTTCATGGAAATGGTGTCCTTTGTCCTATCTCGGTCGGGGCTTGATATCGATGGTGAAACACTTCCCATCCTCTAGCCCGCTTGTGTGGATTCGAATCCGTGGGGCAAAACCCTTTTAAAAAGTTGAAATTTGACAAGAAATTTTAGCAAGCATAACAAACTTGACTCAATTTACACCCAACATTTATCCGATAAATTCAGAGTTTACTGTACATACAAAACTGGATGACTGTGCCCCAATACTACTTTTAACACAAGATTTAACACCACATTAACATACATACACATAAATACAATATGGCATGCTTCTACCTGCCAACCCAAGATGATGACAATGTTCTTCACCAAATTGAATGTTCATGGAAAGGGTGCCCCTGTTTTCATCTCGGTCGGCTCAATATCAATGGCGAAACCCTTTCCATCCTGTTTCCAGTAGTCTGCATTCGGATTGATCCATTCTGGCTCTGGAATCTCCACCCTGGAAATCTTCAGATTATCACTTGATATATTGTACTTCTCATCCCTCTTTTTTACCAGATCTGGAGTGATAATGCCCCAGTTCACTGGTTGTGGGGACATCATCAGTGCTGGTGCACCCATGGGCAACCTATCACCTGCAAATGACCACATCAGCTATTCATGTCGTGTTTTTCTGGGTTCATGTCGTGTTCTTTTGGGTTCATCTTCTTCTTGTTCATGTCACTCTTGTATTATCCATGAACAAGAAAATCTCAAAAACTAAAGTTAACTTTTTTCTCAAATAAATCCACGACAAAGATTTGCATATACAATTTTATTTGATCTACGTCCTCATAAAATCAAATCAAAAACAAAATAACACTACCTAAACCACACTTTTTTTTTTTTTGACATGCACTTAGCTATAGCCAAATAGTTCTAGACACCAACTCAGATTTATATTTCATTAATTACTGCTGAGTGGTTGTCATTTTTCGAAGAATAATACTATTGAGACATAAAAAATTAACCTAATAATGTGACAGTGGAATGATCCAATAATTATAACTCTTAAACTTTTTCTTTGGGACGCTATATAATTTAATGTCAAAAAATTAGGTCAATTTTTGAAGTCTCACAAACATTACTCTTTTTCGAATTCTATTACATGTGTGTTTGTCACGTGTCAAAAATTATGTCGCATGTATTCAAAATTTTATTAAGATTTTTATAAGAGTTATGTTACATGGATTTAAAAATTAGATTTGATAATCTCAATCATTGAATAGATAGTGAATCCTAATAAATATTGAGACCCACAATAAAATCAATGATTGAGATTATCAAGTCTAATTTTTAAGTCCACGTAATATTGCTCATTTTATAATTCCTAATTTTGATTAAGAATCACGAGTCGTTAGAGCTGAGTACCCGAACCAAGAAATTCCTTGCTCTTTCTCTTAATAACACATTTCAAATACAATAGTTCAGTTAATTAGTTAAGACAGGATTTCTTAGTACCGAATAAGAAGTGACGGGTTAATCTTCAAAAGTTTCATTGGAAATGTGATACTCTTACAAGCTTACCTCTGTCAACTTGCCAAGTGCACCAGAATTTGCCATAGGTTTTGGCAAGATTTTCAAGCTCAGGCTTCACGACCGTCTCGGGAACTCTCGGATATACCCAGAGACCTGATTTTATCTGAACAACCGAATGTTTTCATAGTGAGACATGGATAGTTATTTCATTACTAACAGTCATATATAGGTGGGCTAATAGTAAGACTGTAAGAGCCTCCACCAAAAGAAAAGGATTAATCAAGAGAAGGGTAGAACCTCATAAGCATGAGAATGCCAGAGCTTCTGCTCCTCCGGTGATAACTTCTCAAAGATGCGATCAGATACTATATATTCCACGCCTGCAAATAATGATCAAAATAACAGACCAGATCAACCCCAAGACGCCAATAACAGCATCATATCATTAGTAGGGTTGGTAATGGATCGAGCTATATCCATGTCTCTGTCATGTCATATAAAAAATAACATAATTTAAGGATATTATTTAAAATTTTAATGATTATGATGTGAGCTCCAACATTAAATACACTCCACTAGCTGGGTTCGTGTTGGGTTGAATTCTTCCCTTGAGCGATGGGTCTACCATATGTCACCTAGTTGAATTCAAACGGATTTAATCAGCTTACAATTCATCGCCTCGACCCATTAAGAATTAAGCTCAAACCATTAATTCCCGATTAATTTACGTTGAATTCGGGGATTCTTTTCTAAGTTATTTTAGTTTGATCATCAACCCCTCCCTCCAATAGATATTGAGATGTTATCAACCCCTCTTTAAGTTATTTGGCAATTGCTTGAAGTCCGGCCGACTTCAAGTCGGGAAGACCTTAATCTAAGGTGGACAACATGTTTTTAACTATGAAAAATCGGACCAGACCAAATAACAGATTAGTCAATGCGAACAAGTTAATCGAGTCACCCTAACTATAAGAAAAAAAAAAGATATCGTGATGTTGAAGCATATTAATACTTATGTTACGCTCGAGTAAATGAGTTAATAGCCATGCAGCAAGGTTATTCATTTCTTAGGGGGAAGGGGGTAAGTTACCGATTAGACGGCCGGTGGAGTCGTGGGTGTCGTAAACTGCACACTGGAGGAAGTCCTGGTTGATCCGAGTCACGTAATGGTGAGTCTCAATCTGGCGGGTCATGTCATGGCCATACAAGGCAAAAGTGCACACATGCTGGTTTATCTGTTTCACAGGCTTCAGAGACTGCAATATCTGAGCTCCTTTGTCCAGCAACTGCTGTTCCACCGACATCGGCTTCCCCGGCGGAATCTGCTCGCCTCCGGCCAGCGAAGGAGCTGGTGTTTTATCCGATGAAGCCATAAAAAAGTTGATGTATTGGTCTTGCCTCTCTTGATCTTTGTAAGTTTTGTCAGTTTTTTTTAGGGTTTTGAGACGAGGGAGATTAGGGAGAGGTTTGTATTATATGGAGGTGGTGTGAATGTAGGAGGTGGGTGATCGTAAAGGTCCACGTATAGAAATGCATAGGGTTGAGGTGTCTGATTTTACTGCCACTTTGGCCAGATGGCTAATGTCTTGATGATGAAGTTATCTGCTGAGGACACGTTCAAGAGTTGTCTCTCTCTGTTTTTTTTTTTTTTTTGTTATTCGAGCATAATTTATTAATCTAATTGATTATGAATTTTGTATTAACTGTGAATTCTATTAAATATTAAAATTTAGTGTTAATTCAATAATTTTAATTGATAAGGGCAAAATTTTAGACTGAGCCGTCATAATATTGGAGCCCAATAAATCTAGAAGACCTCGCTTGTTTATTAACCCAAAGAGAAAACCTCCGAACAACCCACGCCCAATAGTAGAGAGGGCTGAAAAGAGAGAGTCCAACAGCACCAAAGGATCAGTAGTGCCGAAAGATAGCAATTGTTGCAGGACAGTGATAGAGGACCTCACAGAATTAACAGAAAGGTAGAGGGAGCCACCAATAACCCTAGAAGGAAGGACTGGTATAAATAGAACAGTGTAAACCTACTAGAATAAACTTTCCTATTGTATTTCTCAACCCTAAATACACAACGAACTAAGCATAAGCCCTCGTAAAAGCTCAATGCCAACAATCTGAACATACTCACCTGATCTCAATATACGACCTTAAGGTGCAAGAAGCTCCATTATAGTGGACGTAGTCTCAATCTTTCAGTTAAGGTAAATCACTTATACTCTGTGTCTTCCATTGTTCATAAGTCAACTTCAAACCCGATTAGACTCACAAATCCAAATAGCAACTCATCGATTGGACTTGGGCTATTATTTCAAAGACATCATCACTAATAAAGTCACATCATTAAATCAATAAATTAAGTCAAATTTTTAGATTTAAATAGTATTAATCTTTCAGTAATACTATTTAAACCTAAAAATCTAACCTAATTTGCTGACATAATGATGTGACTTAATAGGAATTATTGAATCAACACCAATTTTCAATGTTTGATGAAGTCTATAACTAATTCAAAGGTTACAATGAATTAAGTCAATAAATTATGTCATATTTTTAGATCTCAATAACATTGCTCTTAATCTTTTGGTATTAGTTCAAGAGGTGCTGGTGAATGAGATCCATTATAGTTTTATTTTATTGAATTAAGGGAAAATATAATAAAAAATTTCTTAATCCATAGCATATGCCACATTGAGTTGGATAATTGTAGACACTAATTTAAATGCTTAATTATTTTGAAATCCTACAACGATCAACATAGATTTTCTAATCCTTTTCTTTTAATGCTTTGACTCTCAGGTTTTTCCCGCTTCTCAAAGTAGGTTCCTCTTTTCTTTTTAATGCTTTAACCTGAGGCACTGTAGATGCCAATTATCTCTACACAAATCGAGAAATTTTTCAATGAATTTAACATATCACGTGACAGTGTCATATGGTATACATTATTAATAAAAAATTTACATGTCCAATGAATATTCCACAAGTTTTTTTTTTTTGAAAACTTTTTATTGAGTGGACACACGACATAACACTACCACGTGGTCAGTATCTTCACCATTCCCATAATTTCTTGCCTTTTGCATTGTATTTTTTGAAATGGGTATGTTGTAATGGTAGTACCGAAATTTTATCACTTTTTTTAGGTTAAAGTACAATTTTTAGGGTCAAATTTGTATTTTGAAAAAATAATTTAGTTCAACCATAAATATTAACCCTAAAATTTTTTGTGGAATCAATTCCAAAGATTTTAAAATCGATCCCAAATAATCATTGTGGAGTAATTTGATTGAATTGAGTTATAAATCACTTCCTAATTTGCAGTAACTTCGATATAGTACTGAAAAAACTCTTTGGAGAAACCACTGAAACCTTATAACTGTGTGCTTGCAAACGGAATAAGCAAGAAATAATATCCTTATTAAGTAGTTGAAGAAATCATAAACAAACTGCAAGGTTTAACAAGAGAAGATAACACGACTCTTTTAAGATATTATCTCTGTCCGCTCTATGTCAATAGCAAAACCCTTGCCAGTCTCCTTCCAATAGTCTGCATTGGGATGTATCAACTCCGGTACTTCAATAGAGATTCTTGACATTCTCAGATCATCTGTCGGTATCTTGTACTTCTCATCTCTCTTTTGAACTAGCTCTGGCTTGACGGCGCCAACGTTCACCCCTTGTGGAGACATCATTAGTGCAGGGGCACCTAGTGGAAGCTTGTCACCTAATTCACAGAATCACATCAAAACCCACAATTAATTCTGAGGCTATTCATGCAGAGTTTCAACATACATCCACTGCATGCACAGTCAATTGCATAGCCATTTGGAAAAATAATCGGCTTTAGAGATGCATTTAATCCAAGGGGTGTCATTAAAGTTATGCATACTTACAAGGTGAGCGCTTTTTCAAGTTATACGAACCTAAGTCAAAACAGAAGACCGAGTACATTGCATAGGAACGAGGTTGGCATGCAACAAATTTGGTATTAGATTGAAACCTACGTCGAGATCGTGGAGTAGATCCTATGTCGAGATTGTGAGGTGCATACTGCATAGGCTCCATCCCACATCACCATATAAAGAGTGTGGAGACCATCGGAGAACTGAAATCATTGGACCTTTTATTTAGATTAGTTAGTGTACACCTGCAATGCATGGAACTGTTTTGAGTACCAAACAATATATTATGGTTTTTGATAAAGATGAAATTTTGTGAATGGGCCACCGTGGCCTATGAGTCCAATACACCTTGAGAATTCAAAGGCAGAGCTTATTAACCCAAACCCAAAGAGGAGCCTCTGTTTAGCCCACATTAGGAGTAGCAAGGGTAAAAGTCCAATGGCTCCAGAGGGCCAGTAGTCAAGCCCTAGCCCAGTCCAATACCAGCCGAAGCCGAAGGACCATCCGAGAAAGAGGAGTCAAGTCTTGGCACTAGAAGCATCCCTCCATGCCACGCGTCCAAAAGACAAGGGGACCATCTCTGAAACATATGGCAATTACACCCTCTCGGGCGCAGAGGATGGTGGAGCGTAACGATCCAAATATCGTGGGCACAGTAGCACCGACTAACCGAGGCTTTTGCAAGATAAGGACGAGAGGTCCCCACAGGATGAACAAAAAGATAGAAGGAGCCACCAAAAACTCTAAGAAGAATTAATATAAATAGAACAGTGTAAACCTACTAGCAAGAGCTTCTTCTTCTCCCCCCCAAGAGATTCCCCAGCCCTAGATACAGAACAAGTAAAGCTTAAACCCCTGTAAAGGCTCAGTGCCAACGATCCCAATATACTCATCTAATTCTAATACATGATTGTACGGAGCAAGAGACTCTATTATAGGTGGATGTAACATTGATCTTTCGACTAAAGTGAACCACTTATATTTTGAGTCATCCATTATTTATAAATCAACCACACATCCGATCGAACTCACTGATCCATGTAATAATTTGTTAATCGGGCTTGAACCATTATTTCCGAGACATAGTTGTTAGTATCGTATGATACGCGATACGTATCGTACGATATGTCACAACACAGGGCTAAAACGATACGGATCATAGTTTTATATCATTTTTGCGTTGTATCGTCTGATACACCATACATTTTTACGATTCGCACGATATGTGCAAATACTGTTTTTTTTTTTTTGATGGAGTGACATAGTCAGTGGCTAGGGTTTATAAAAAAAATAAAAATACCTCTTTTCCTTCTTCGTTGGTCTGGTCTTCAACTCGTGGCCTGGGTGTTCACTGGTCTGATCTTCGACTCCTGGCTTGGGTGTTCGCTGGTCTGGTCTTTGACTCCTAGCCTGGGTGTTCTTCATCCTTCGATGACGACTTCTGGGTGTTTTTTGTTCTTCCATCGAAACTACTTCTCTATTCATCTATCGAAGTTGCCTTCTTCTTCTTCTTCTTCTTCTTCTTCTTCTTCTCTCTCTCTCTCTCTCTGTGGCACCGACATTGCCCATCGCCATCGCCTCTTCTCTCTCTCTGTGTTTGTTCGTGGGTTTTACAGACGATTGTGCAAATTTTTTTTTTTTTTGTTATAAGAAAGAACAATTACATTTACTACCCCATTACATTATAACTTTTTATTTTAAGTATACATAAGTACCATTAATTTAATTTGATACCCTTAATTATTTTTTTAATATTAAAAAATTGTATTGGTGACTTGAATAGTAGGTGGAATATTTATGAAATATTATGGTTTTATGAGTCTATGATTTTTTTTCAAAAGCATATATATTTTATTATTAATTATTTAAAATTGTACCGTATTTTACGATACACGATACGATACGATACACTATTTTTTAAAAATGATACACCTTCCGATTTACGATTTGATAACTATGTTCTGAGGCCTCATCAATTTTAAAAATTACAAAAGTAATCTGATCAATAAAAAAGTTAACTAATTATTAGCAGTGATTCATAAGGCAAAATGAGAAATCCGGATACACAACGGTTTTAAGTTTCAATCCGTAATGGAATAATTATTTTAAAATTTTAATTAGTTATTATTAGTTGAAGGATTGTTTATCTAAAAATCATAAAGTAAAGATTTACTACTGAAATAAGAATATTGACTCTAAAAGTCAAAAAGTTAATCACTTACTACAAGAGTGAGAATATTTAGTGTGGAGTACAATAATTTATTCAGTTATTACTTCTTAAAAGAAAAAAAAAATCATGTTTTGATAGTAATTAGTGTTAAAAAGGAAATTAGAGGTTATAAAAATGATCCCATTTTTGAAAAATATCTAGTGTCTATAAATGAAATTTTATTTATAGGATTAATTAAGGTCAAAATAGGAAAACAAAAAAAAATTCATGAGAAATTTATTAATAGTATTGATTATATTTTAAAGTCATACAGATCTAACTCACTCAAAATAGACAATATTATACAATTATACAACATTGAGATGGATCGTGATAATTAATCCCCAAGACTTACTATAGATTAGGCCCTTTTATTATGTCCACTTATTTACAAATGGCAAACTTGCAACCCTACAACTTCGACTTATGGCGTCAAAAAATAAATAAGTGACTAAGATTATCGAAAGTTTCTACTTATTCTTGAACGCACAAGAAAAAGTCGAGGTTAACTTTCTAAAGTTCAGAGTGAGAAAAGAATCTTAGTCATCGGTGACCGAATTTCATAACAGTACCTTTGGGAGATAGAGATAGTTGATCGAGAAACTAACTCACTTAAAATAAAAAATCCCATCCTTATAAAATGTTGAGATAAACAAATTGATTAATAGACAAGGTGATATGGATTACCTCTATCAACTTGCCATGTGCACCAGAACTTGCCATAAGTTCTAACAAGATCTTGGAGTTCAATCCTCTGAATCAACTCTGGAACACGTGGATTTACCCAAAGGCCTGATGAGATCTGGAACCCCAGAAATTATCACAATTATACGATGTTATTCCAAAAAAGAGCATTTCGCACTTTTTACCCTGAAATTTTAAATTTTTTATTTTATACCCTCAAAAATTAAAATTTTCACACCACACCCTATCAAAATTATTGCAATGTAGGCTTTGTTAGTTTACGTTATTTTATTTTTTTTTTCTATCAAAAGACAACTCATTGACATTAACAGAAAAATTAATAGAAAGTTAACAAAATAATCACATTATAATACTTTTGACATATTGAGAATATAATATGAGAAATTTAATTTTTGAGGTTATAAAAAGAAAAACTTGAAATTTTTTAGAGTACAAAGTACAATTCACTCTTCCAAAAATTTTAAAAAAAAACTTGAAGAATACCAGTAGAAATGGTGGATAGGAAAACAGGAATGCAAACCTCGTAAGCATGGGAATGCCAGAGCTTCTGCTCCTCGGGTGGTAGAGTTTCAAAGATTTTGTCTGATACTATGTACTCCACTCCTGAAATATATTACCCAAACTTTTGAGCCGTGAGCCGAGAGAGGCGTTTGCTTTGTACCCAAACACACTCGTTAGTTTATTATTTTCATGGTTAGTGCTAGAAATGAAGCTCATAGTAAAGCCTTTAATCAAATATGACTGTCATCAATTGAAAAAAAAAACTCCACTATTGATATTTTTGTGTTAGCACACATCGAATGGTCTGTTTTTGACTAAATCAAAAAAAAAATTAATCAAAATGTATATAAATATATGTAAATTAATTTGAATACTTTGATTATTAAAAAAAAATAATAATTTCACAAACAATATCAATTAATTAAGAATGTATAATATTTTATGAGTGATGTACGTCACATAATACTGTGGCGGGGATGAGGATTGAGCACACAATATGAAGTGAAGTTAGTCACCAATAAGACGGCCGGCGGAGTCGTCGGAATCGTAAACGGCACACTGGAGGAAGTCCTGGCTGATCCGAGTCACGTAGTGGTGAGTCTCGATCTGGCGAGTCATGTCATGGCTGTACAAAGCAAATGTGCAAACATGCTGGCTCATCTTCTTTATGGGCTTCAGTGACTGCATCATCTGAGCTCCTTTGTCCAGCATTTGCTGCCCCATCGTCATCGGCTTCCCCGGCGGCACCGACCCATCTCCCGGCGGCATCGGTCCTGGAGTTTTATCACTCGAAGACATTATACAAACGTCGGTGATCCAGTGTTCTCTCCCTCTCTCCCTCTCTCCTGTTGGGTTATAGGTGAAAAGTGTAACGTGGGGAGGTATTTGGTTGCCACGTATACTTGCATGGATTGTGAGGTGGTTGATATTACTAACAAGCTGTTGCCAGGTGGCCTGATATTAAGGGCATTGGAGCTGCTGGAAAGATATTTTTATTTGAAAGAAAATATTATTTAGATTTAATACGATAATCCAACTAATTGTAGTTAGTTGGTTACATTTAATTTTTTCAAGATTATGTCAATCGAAAGATCAAGGGATTAATCTTTTACAATGTCAAAGATTGTTTTTCTATTGGTTATTGACGTAATTCACTATAGTTATTAAATTGACTGTCGATCCTATTAAATATTAAAATTTTGTGTTAATTTAATGATTAAAATAAAATTACATCATTAAATTAACAAATTATGTTAAAATTTTTAACTTTCAATAGCACTACTCATAATAAGAACAAGACTGTAGTCATAATAAAAGAGTAATGTTAGTCATTGGATTGACCGTAGACCTTATTAAATATTGAAATTTAGTGTTTATTCAATAGCTACAATAAAAACATATTATCAAGTCAGCAGATTAGATTAAATTTTTAAATATAAATAACATTATTCTAAATAAAATGAAAGAGACCAATAAAAATCGCATAATCTTTTAATCGTGTTAAATTCTCCCTTTTTCTTTCTCTGATCATGGACTACAATTTTTAAGTTGGTTCAAGAAAAAGGAAGGAGGAGGGGGGTGGGGGGCATGGATCCCAAACCATAGTTTTAAAATCCGGTCTGGACATCAATTCGGAGAAGGGACCGGGTCAATGAATTTCTGGTTTAACCACTGGGTCACTGGTCGAATCGGTATATAATAAAAAAATAAAAAATAATTATTAATGATGATAAATAGACTAAAAAATTAAAATAATTATAAAAATAATATGTTTAATATATATTAAATCAAACAAAGTTATCAAGCCTAAATCACTTAATTGCATTCAATTAACAAACCAATGCATTCAATTAACAGTCTCCACCCTCAAACTTGAATCACTTAATTGCATTCACTTAATTTTTGAGTTAATAAACACTGAACGAATGATTTAAGATTTAGGACAAAATAGAAGGGGAAAAGAAAAAGACACAAAAATGTAAAAAAAAAAACATATTTATACTAAAGGAACAAAACTAGCCGATTTTGTAAACCCAGTTCGATTTTCACAGGTTATCGGCTTTTTGACCGATTCGGCGATTTTATTCCGAGTTCTTTGCTCAAACGGTCCAATTACAAAATCGGCCCAGTTAGGGGACCGGATCACCGGGTCAACCGTCGGGCCGGGTCGGATTTTAAACACTGCCCCAAACCCATGTGTTTGTAGCTTTTGGGGGAGATTTTATATGTCCTGCAATTTTGTGGATGTATGTAAATTATTGAATCACGTAAATATTATCTTATATGTGTAATTATTTTTATTTAACGTGTATTTTTTCTATTTTTATTTCTCACAAATTTAAAATTTTCGTATTAATTTCTTAAGAGCCAGCAATAGAATATACCGATAGATTCAAACAGACGTTGCGAATCACAAAAATAAGCGCCTATCTGCCAGTGTGGGGATAGATAGGACAGAACTCAGAAATTGGAGCATGTGAAAATCATGACAACGAGTTTAAGGTGATTCCCTTGGTGGGGGTATGCAACTATCCGAGAATTTAAATTTGGACCGATTCCTCCTCTGTCAGAGTCAGATTAAGAGTAAAGTGACGTCGGTGGTTTAATATTTTTGTTCTTAAATATTTTTTCTTTCAACCAGTCAACGATTGTGTTGAAATATATAATTTTTTCCGAGATAATAATTAAATTAATAAAATTTGTCATTAATATCATCTGTGTAATGTAATATTTTGAATTTGTATAAGATACAATGATAACATTTTGATTAAAAAAAATTCATAACTAATTTTAATTTTATTTATTTAATTAATTATCTCAATGACTTGCACTCCTATTGAAAAATGATTTATGGTTTGTTGACGATAACCATATTTTATGAATACAAAATTTTTATTTAGAAGGAACTCAAACAATTTGACCAAAGGGGACTAATGTTGTTGTCCAAATTAGTCAAATAGACTTTTTAACTAAAATTCAAATTATACTTAGAAAAAAATAGTCTGGGTCATTTATTGGTGTAATATGGGAGGCATATGATATTTATTTAATTAATTATCTCGTTGTCTCTCTATCTCTCTCATTCTTCTCGTCTGTTAATCACTATCTTTGTTTCTCTCCCGTTAATCCTAAATCCCCAAATCTCCATTAAAAATTGGCTCAATTTTGGCCCAAATTCGAAACTCTGGTTCGACTCTGCCAATCGGAATCGGAGTTGGAGACACTGAAAGTCAGAACCGTAGTTGGAAGTCGGAATTCATGGTTCAAAATCTGTTGGAGTCAGTGCCCACCCCTAGTCATATGGTTCGCTTTTTGGATCCCACTTTTTTTTTTTTTTTTCACTCTAGCTAGTATAATCCATTTCTTGCAATGCACTTGATTTGCCCGATTCTCGTTAAAGAGCACAAACATTATCACAAAACATAATTTTTTTTTGTTAAAAAAAAAAGTGAAAAGGGGACATGATAATCTTCATTTCTTCCAACCTCACAAAGTGGCTTCCACTTTCTGGTCGTCATTCACATTCTGTAGCTCATGAACATTAGACCCACTTGAAACCTCAGGGCTCTGAGGCCTGTACTTGTACCTCATAGCAACAATCAAATAAACAAAGAAATTCACCAAGCTCAGTACAGAAAGCATCCAATAGAAGAGATTCAAATGGTTCCTGTTAATATTATTCCCAGCCAACCACCCTCCACTTCTGGTTATTCCCTTGGTGGCACTGTTCACTGTCTTCACCACGACAGTGCTCATGTAATACCCAACTGCCATGGAGCTCCAAAGAAAGCAAGTAGAGATGGATTTTAGGTCTATTGGTGCTTGGGAGTAGAAGAATTCAAGAAGTCCAACATAGGTGAACATATCTGCTATCCCGAATATGAAGTACTGGAATGATAACCAGAAGACACTGATCGGCAATGGCTGGAACATAGGGATGGCATCGAGCATGTTGTGGGTACGAGCAATATTTTTCCGCTTCACCTGGTTGGGATATCACATGTGAGAATTACATATCGAATAAGAAAAAAATTTCGTGTCTTCATTTTCGATCTCGAGCAATTGATATAAAATGTTATCTAAACAAAATAATTTCCACATTACCTCCATTATTGCAGCGGATGCCATGGCCAGGGAAGAGAGAACGAGGCCAACGCCGACACGTTGCAGGTGAGTTATTCCGGTGATGTGGCCTGTAATCTTACGGGCGAAAGGAACGAATACTTGGTCGTAAATGGGGACTAAGATGACCAGAAAAGCGATGGGGATGATGGGGAGGGAGGCCGGTGGGATTTTAAAAGATTTGGTGATCCTTGTGTCCATGGTGGCACCTTGTTGGACAGAGAAGGTTTGAAGTTGGGCTAGGCAAACTGTCATAAAAAAGGTACAACAGAAAATTGGAACCATTCCTAGTATGACTTTTGCATTTTCTACTTGTGTGACTGTGCAAAGTTTCCATTGATTTGGTGTTTCAAATGGTGTTGGAGATCTCACAATAGCTGCTTTGTCCAGGAACCTGGAGACAATTTTGTCGAGATAGTGTCAGGTAGAGCTATAATAATTGTCATTTGCCCCCCCCCCCCCCCCCCCCCACACACACACACACACGCACTTACTTAAATAATTGAGAGAATTATACTCAGACGTTCTAAAATTTATCATCATTCAGATTCTTTAAAGTTTAAAATATTACACACAGTCTCTTAAAGTTTATACGCATGTATCACTTAAACCTCTGTTGTAAATATATCTATTAATAAATTACACTTAAACTCCCCTAAAGCTTATGAATATATAATACTTACTCCCTTTAAGTTTAAAATATTATACTTAAACAAAAAATATTTCAATCAAAATTTATGTTCTATTATATTTTCTCAAACTGTGTGATCGCTTTGTCTAAATTTGGTTCAGAAACTAGGGCAAAGACAACCTGAAAACATCCCTGTGAGGTAGAAATTTCACTTCTAATGCTGCTTCTTTGTCCTTATTGATCTCATACAGCTCGGCTGAGTCCTCTGGAAGTTGAAGCTTTCTATTACGGATAGCTGCTACATAGACCTGTGTATCACACAAATAAATCAACAAAACCATTGCACATATGTGTATCTAAGTGATGAGTATTAAGGCCGACAATTCAAGACATAACTTGCCAACCTTACGTGAAATCAAAGAAAAATTAGTGGATTTGAAACCGGAATTAAAGTAATATTTATTTTAGCTCCCTATCGCCCGGAAGGAAAGCAACGATTGGAGTGAGAGAGTCAGAGGCGAAAAGAGGACGAGTTTAGTATATTTGAATGGTAAACGGATTGATGCATCAAACTCGCTTAATATATAAGTCGACACAAACGATATATACACGACTCGAACATGTCTATACATGACACGAATTAAAGACTAATGAATATCTCGTAATATCAGAATTATTTGTACCAACCTGTATAATTTCAGTAATAGCACTCCTCCCTTGAACAGAATGTATCCTGTACTGAGGCAATCCAGAAGCAAACATGATTATACCCAAGAACATGGCAAGAGTTGAAAGACCAAGGCCATAATCCCATCCTTTATTATCTTGGATCCACACAAAAATTGTTAAACTAACTACACCTCCAATGCACACAGAGAGTAAGAGCCAATTGAAGAAACTTGACAGTTGTGTTGCCTCTTTTGGGTCTTTTTCATCAAACTGGTCAGCACCATGAGTTGGCAATGCAGCTTTTAATCCTGAGCTTCCAGCAGCAACCAAATATAGAGCAACAAAGAGGATAGCAGAATTTCTTCCACTGACTTGGGCACAATGAGCATTTGGCTCAAATATGTTGCATAGAGGTGGCTTGAGTTTGGGGTAGTGAGCTTGTAATGCTAGCAATCCAAGTCCCTAAATGAACACTACTATTAGAAAACCATTCTAACATTGTATTTAAAAGGGTAAAATTGTGAAAGATTGAGGCACCGTTTAGTAATCTCTATTAAGTATGAAAAATAGCATTAGTAATTATTGAGAAACACACCAGAAACTCAAGGCAAGCTGAAATAAGAACAGCCTTAAATCTGCCAATATAAGTGTCTGCAAGGAAGGCTACAATGATGGAAAGAATGTAACTAGTGCCCACATAGTTAGTGACGGTGTTGGCTGCTTCAGATAGTTCAAAATGCATCACCACACTGAAGTATGTCACCAAGTTCACTGCCAATGCTATTGTTGCCATGTTTTCAAAAGCAAATGCTCCTGCAACACAAATCAAAAACTCAGCACAAATTAGTTATGAACCAACACTACTCAGAAAACTAACTGCAATCATGATTACCTTTTCATGAGTTGCGTTCACGTGTTCGATCGAGTTACAAAAATAGTCTTTCACATGCGAGTAAGATGGACTATAATAATGAATTATGGTTTCATCTAAAAACTCAGGATTTATAATATTTTTAGTTCATAAAGTATTTAATTCATGTCACTTTGGTTCTTACATAGATGAACCGTTAAGTTTATTGACGAAAGTGTCATACTATTAGACAGTATCACGTGACCAACACATGATCATTTTATCAAAAAAATTAGCGGTCTACCTATGTAAATACTAACATAACATGAATTAAATACTTAAAAGACTAAATTGACAAAATTAATACTTTAAATACCAAATTGATAAAAAAAAATACATACTTTAAGAATCAAAAGTGTTATTAACCCAAAACTTATTATCCGACAGAAATGGTGTAAGAAAAGTATTTTATTATACGATAAAATATTTATGTATTTGAACATGTTTATATTTTATTTTATTTTTTATCAAAACGCGCATATATTTGAAACTCTCTAAATATGACCCTGTAATGATGAAAGACTCATACACTAGGATATCCTTTTTGTAGCTAATTGAATCGATGATCTTGTAAGATCAAGCCACTCAGTGGATGAGTGGACAAATTGAAGGTATTTTCTCTGTTGCAAGTATTAGAATTCTGCACGAAAAAGTAAGAAAGTCTACATATTTTAACAAATTTAATGTGAAAAACGGAGTTGCTCCGTTAGTAAAACTAAAATAAAGTTGAGTCAAAATATTCCAATTCAAGACAAATTCACGAGGAAGTTGTTATGTTATCAATGCTGGTGTAACATTAGTACACCAATTCCCCTCAACAAATGATGACATACTCTCCACTAGTAGAGGGATTTATGAGACCTACCTAACAGTCGTCAACGAACCACAACATATGTGAGAGAAATTTGGTGAAAGTAACATTGATCATATATATAGGAATTTGTCATCGTAAAAAATATAACATTTGAATCGGGTTTTTTCACCTAATACGAGCAAAGAATTTCGTAGTCCGCCATGCTTATCCTTTCGAGCTGTTCTTCCTTTCCAGTCCACCTTTCCTTCAACAAGCTCGGCTTTCTCCTGCATTGGAGTTAATCATACAACTGTCATGGACCAACTGGAAAATAGAGAATGAACCCAGAAAGATAATTTCACGAAATGAAAAAAGTATCCAACCATGGCTATTTGGGCTCTTCACAGCTGCTTGATAATGTATAACTCTGGAGAATGGTTCAAGATATAAGATAAGAGTGTTATGTATATATAAGAATAATTCAGTGCCATGTTTTGACCCCTAGTGACTGATGAAGACCACTTGTAATGACCAAAATTCCCACTCTAGTGTTGTTGTACCTACAATGTTGCCAACTTGGGGGGGGGGGGGGGGGGGGGAGAGAGAGAGAGAGAGATACCCATGAAGGAGTCAACAAAGGTAAAAAACAACAAAAGGAAAGAGAAAAGTAATCACAACATTGGTTGCATGGATAAATTCAGTAGTCGGACAAGAGGATGAAAACGTAAACTCTGCGTTCTTGGTTCAAGTCTCTCTCTTAATCATATAAAAAACTTACCATACATGTTGTTTCCAATTGATTTTGTACATATGAGGTATAAGTTTCAACCATGAATTCAATTAATTAATAAGACACCGTTTGGGTCAATCCATTCCCAATAGTCTCAAGCATTGATGGTGCAGTTGAAAAAGTCTCTTAATCATTTATGGTGTTCATGTCTCTAGTATTTATTGATGCTCTTAAAATTTTGTTGTCAAAAACATTAAAACATTAATGATGACAAACCATTTTTGCTGGATTATTATTGGATTTGAATCTTGAATACTTTTTTTTAACCGGAAAAATGTTAGATAAATTTAAAAAACTAGCTTAAACACTTGATTTGATGAATCATTGTTATCGAATAGATAGTAGATTTCAGTTCATCGTCTTTTTTACGACAAAAAACATAAAAATATGTTTGCATGTGCTATAATTTTTGCAGTTGATTTTTACAAAAAAAATATATTTAAAAAATTTTGATATGC